TGTGCAATGGCATTCCATCAAGGTGTCCTGTCACTTTACCATTGATGTAGTATTTCCTTTCAGTCTTAATTGTCCATCCTAGAGAACAAGGCCAGTCTAACAAGCAACACCAGTTCACATGATGACAAAACAACTGAGATTCTTCACAAGAGGTCCCAAAGGGCTGTTTATAACTGCCTATCCTCTAAGAGCACTGTTGGGAGCATTCTGTTCCCATCATGGAGCCATGGAACCAAGCAAAGGCAGGATCTTGATGGAACACTAGGAAGGTCGGCATTTCTATGAAGTCATGAAATCTGTTTTTCAAACTTATCACTAGAGCAAAGTTGCTCAATCTTGGCACTGTGGCCATTTCAAACCAGATGATTCTTTGTTGTGGGGGCTGTCCTGTGCATGATAGGATGGTTAGCAGCATCCCTGGCTTTCACCCACTAGATGTAATAGCGCTCCCAACTGAGATAACCAAAAATATCTCTAGACATTGACAAATGTCCAGGGAGACACGCTGAACAACTAACTATACCCGAGATGCAGCTAGCTTACTGTTTCGCCTTGCAAAGGAAATAACTTGGTAGGTGTGGATTTGGAGGGGTAGAGAGGAGGCAGCATTTGGGTGTGTTCTGCTAATTCTGTGGGAGCATTTACTGGAATTTTTCCCATCCTCAAAATTGCCGTTAGAGCCCATTTCTGAACATCCCGTGGAAACAAACCCTACTTCTTCATGCTCATAGCTCATGACTGTATTCTTGGAATTACAGACTTTTAGAATTAGAAAAGATCTTAGAGATCAGCGAGGTTCAAACGATTATGTAATCCACCAAATATCTGAACTCCTCCAAACTCAGTGTGTTACAGATGTTTGTCACTAGGACACTGCAGCTGTGCCAAGAGAGATCACCAGATGCCATTTCATTGTCAAGTATCTAGAATAGGATCTCATGCAAAATAAAAATCAAAAGTGTGATCACTGGGGCACCTGGCTGGTTCAGTCTGTAGAGCATGTGACTTGATCTAGGGGTCATGAGTTTGAGCCCCATGTTGGGTGTAGAGTTTAGGTACGCACATACATATGTACATACATACATACATACATACACATGTAATTGTTGTCCCAGGTGCAGTTCAGAGTTAGTAGGGAATACAATCTGTGGCAGTTCATAATGATTTAAAACAAACCAAACAACCTCGAGTGTGATTCGGCCCCAGAGCTGGAAGACAGGGGTGGGGGACTTGGGGGTGGGAAACGTGCAAACTGGCTCTGTGATATTAAGATCTACTGCTGGCTGCCATGTTAGCATTTTTAGCAAAACTATTCACAGTTCTGTTGCTTGGCCAGGAAAACCTTGTTTCATTTATACAGCATTTCTCTCTCCCAGTGACACAACCTGTATTCATTTGCCCGAGATGGTCCACTTAAGTAAAAGTAAACCAAAGAAAAGCCATTTAGAAAACAAATCACCCAGCAGTCTGCTTATTCATTTTTCATAAACATCAGAACCATCTCCTCCTAAACGAAAAACACAACAGTCGCTGGAGGATTTTAGATGGAGGAGGGGAAACATAAGTTTCTTGAGGAACCGCTCTTTGCTCCTTTTGGAAGGTAACAGAGAAAAGTGACAGGGTAGGGAAGAATTGCTTTTTCCTCGTCTGCTCTTTTCCCAAGGTGACTTCTGTGGAGCTTCCCACCCTCATCCACTTCCCGCTGCTTCTTCCCACTCTTGGCATAGAGGTGGGGCACCGGGGTGGAGGTGGGAGCAGTCCTATGCCCTCTCTGCTCTCCACACCTGCAGACCTGTCCAGGGTGAACAACTTCCGTAGCACAGGCTTTATCCTTGCGGGGGGCCTGCAGTCAGCCAGCTGAGCTAGTCTCTGGGTGACACAGGGCAGGTGTCATTAGAGCCAGCCCTTTTGGCCACAGAAATAAAGCTTATATCCTTCAATCAAGCAATAAAGCTGACATCTTGAGGTCCCTTTGTCTTGGCTCCAGTGTCAATTGGGTTTGAAGTGGGAGGGGGAGGAAAAGCATGATATTTACCTCTTAAGATCCCAACAGTAAGATTTAGGTTAGAATGGTTTAAATAACCATGTGAGAACATGAGCCCATTCACACCACATTCCACAACTAAATGATCAAAGCCTGGGCAAACGTCCATTTCCGTGCCCAGATACTCAAAGTTTGGTTTCACCAATGGAGAGCATGTCAAGCTGAACACAGGGATGCTACTAATTATCCAATCATTGTAAAAGAAAGCAACTTTGTCCTTTTGGGAGCAGGGAGGAGGGTGCTCCCTGGTTTCAGGTACTGGCCCAGACATTAGCTTGGGTGAGTCAGGTCACCTTCATGAACCTGTTCAGTCATGAGAGCCTCAGAGGTGGTGGTGATAAAACCGGGTATCCCAGGAGGGTTTGTGTCTGTTTGTTAAATAAGTTACTGATGAGAGAAAGAACCCTGTGAAAACAGGGCAAAACCAGACAGCCATGAAACGGTGGCTTTTAGGTGGTAATCCTGACAATCATTTATTCTATGTATTCCTTCCAGAGTGAGCCATCATGTCTATAGGTGTTCCTAAGGAATTTAGTTTAACGAAATGATAGGAACGACTTCAATTAGAATATAATTGTGTGTATGTAAATATGCTTAGGGGAGCTTTGATAGAGTTTATGGTTGCTACATTCACCCAGAATTTTGGCCTACCTTATTAATTTGCCCTACCATGAAGAAAGGGTTTGTTCATCAAAGATAAACTATTCCGCTGATACTGCATTAGGGAACTCCAAATCATAGTAGGTTAACGAGGCAGTGCTATGCATGTACACAACTCTGTGCTAAGCAAAAGCTTTCTGGCTGGCCACATAGGACGTCTCCTTATTGAAAGATTTATTTTTAATTTTGAACAGCTTCCCAGCATTACCCTTCATGAAAATTAAAATAGGGAGCTGGAATTTTGTCCTGTTCAGCAAACCTCCTGGAAGGGCTGCTCACCATGGCAGAGAAAACCTCATTGTGTCAGAGGAATTCCCTCATCCACCTTTCTGTTAGAGCTCAAAGAATCACACCTACATTTTAAATAAAACTTGGACTTTTTTCCTCTCCTAATGTTTTTGCACCTTTTCTTCTTTTGAGGATTTTTTAGCCTGTCTTCTTTGGGCTCCTTGGGCCTTCTGGCCTGGTAGGAGCTGATATAATCCCTTGGCTCGAATTCTTACGTATATAGTCATAGCCATTCCCACCCCCCAAATCTGGGGGAGCCAAGCCTGTCCTCCGCATGTCTCCCAGAGGCTATGCTCTACCAAAGAGAATGATTTCACCTTGTACAGCCTCAAAAGGTCCCTTCCTACTTTTAAATCAGTTAAGAACACGAAGTAGTGATATGTTTGAGGATAAGTACATCAGGCTGAACATAAGATTATTGATTGAATCATAAACCAGATTCCCCAGCAGATGCAGAGAGGTTGGCTTGGTCTAACTCAGAGACACTAGTAGCACCAATATGTCTCCCAAGATCTATGGGCAATATTTCCAAAAAAGAACTAATAAAAAGCTGGCAAAGGCAGAGTACTTGGTGATGCTATCAGAACCTCCTAAATCATACTAGTCTTTGTAGAAAAATAAAACTGATTACCACGAACAGTGCTCACCACCTATAAGTGCCGAAATAAAAGACAAAAGCATAATCAGATGATCTGTTCACGCCGCATATTTTAAAAGATGTCACATTTGTATAGATGAAGCTGCCTTCCAGTCACATTTGCCACTCTCGCTCCAGTTTAAAATCTCACCCGCGTCGTAACTTTGTATTTATTCTAGAGAGTTCAGGGCAAAGCGGAAAAATAATGACTTTGGATTGGGACACTGGAATACTTTTCACTATAGGATCAATTAATATGGATATATTTAACTATGGAGTGCACTTACTGAAACATTCATTTAAGAGAGAAGTGCAGTAAGAGGGGACAGGGCTGCCGGCAATTTATAATCCTTTTCCGGCGAAACTTGTTGTTCTTAAGAGCCTCATGAAAGAGTACACCACAGTTCTTTTCTCCTACTCCCCTTTAACTTGCCAGAAATAAATAACAGGGAGCCAGCAATGTGAGGCAGAGATCCAGGATGGAAAATGAGCTCGAGAAAGCGTGGAAACGTTTTCAGGGGAGGACCTGGAATGAGGGGTCAGGAACTGGAGATTGTGCAGATTGTGATTTGAACTTTGAAATATCTGATACCCAAGACTTTGTTAACAATTCTGCAACTAACTTAGCAGAAACTCTTCATGAACAGAGAATGTTTTCAAGTCTATGGAATTAGAAGAGGAAACCAATGCTGGAAATGGGGTAAATTAACTCTCCTCTCCCACGTGTCAATTATGGATTCAACTATGAAAGTGGCTGCAAAACCAGTATATGTTTTCAGGAAAATGTTGTCAAACCGCACAGAACACCCATTAAACTATTCACTGTTCACAGATTTACATGATGATGCTAGCAGAGGTCCATATACATTTTTTAAATCCTAAAATACCAAACAAGACCAAAATGATAGCCACCGATGCTTTGGTTGGAAAAGGTAGCAAATGCCGATATAGCACTCTGCATTGGTAAAAATCAATTTTACAATTCAAGATAATCTGTTAAATGCTCTGATGTCCAACCATGGACCTTGGGATTAAAATGGCTGACATGAATTCCTTACAAGAGAAGTCCAACATGGAGCGACCCAGCTCACTAGACTGTCGTCTCCTTCCAATCAGACACTGTCTTCTAATCTCACTGAATCACCACCACTTGGTATAGGTCATGCTATGCAGTTGGTGTCCAAAAAAATATTTGCTGAGCGAATGCACGTTCTTCTAAGTATCTTTTGTATTACAAAGCAGCTCATGGGTTTATAATTAGATCCATGTGCTTCTACTTCAATTGCAGAACTTTAATATCATTCATGGATACCAACATAAGCCCTCTCTCTCTAGATTCATATCATACAACAAAGAAGATCCAATTCCTACCTGCTTGGTTGGTTGTCACAGTGACAGACACGGATTGGTCCGGGCTGGGGTTATACTTGGACACTCCATTCACCGCCCAGATTTCAAATGTGTAATTGGTGTGAGCCAGGAGGTCAGTGATGGAAACTTTGGTGGTCTTCAGGCCATTCTGCTGTGGGGTATAGTGGACCCCATTTCCACAGGGTCGGCACTTGCTGAAATCACCAGCTCCACATTTCTTGCACACCACATTGTAGGAAATATCCTGGCGGCCACCTGTGTTCTGGGGACTGCTCCATTCCAAGTTCACTGAAGTCTCATTGACATTAGAGATCAAGTTGAGGGGAGCAGACGGTGGGCCTAGAAAAAGAGAAAAAAAATACATGCACACATTATCACACCAAGAACTTAAAACTATCCTTTTGGAATCGCTCAAAGTTTATATTATTCTCTGCAGCTATAGGAGGTAAGGTGTGGGCCCATGTGGCAAAGAAAGCAGAAAACAGATCAAGCCAGCAAAAACAGATCTTTTAAAAGAACCACATGAAAGAAGGCTGCCTGTATGTCATTCTCAACCCTGTGCAAACAACAGTAGCACTGATTGCCACTTGGAGATGTCGTGCATCTCGACATCAAATGGGCTTCGAGTGCGGGCCTCTCTTTGAAGCGGCAGGAAAATATCAAAACTTATCTAGTTTTTATCTCATCATCTGAAAACAGGCATATGAATGTGATTCTAGTTCCCAGGGCCACGGTGGGACTCTGCTAAAGTAATAGTTATGTACCACTTTTTTGAAGCTACATCACGGTTCCCAAGTACAGCATGTCCTCAAGATGGAAGAAAATTAACTGAATTGTATAGATATGCCTCTTCGGTTCAACACAGTAGTTGAGAGCTCAGTTCTTTATATGTAATTCGTAGGAACTGGTGTGACCTGGTTGCAGAGATGTCAAAGGTAGAGTTGTCGGGAGATCTCAACTTGAGGCAGAGATTGCGCAAAGGCTCCCAGGCCCCGCGTCCTGCCCTTCAGCGACCTAAGGCTGCACCGGGCCCTTTTAAGCTAACTCATTCCCACCGACATCAAAGAGTTTATGAAACACAAACAGTGCTGGTGGCTGTTTCGAAACAGAACTGACTGCAAACAACATAGTGGTTGGTTTTAAAGATAGTAGTAAAAAAAAAAAAAAAGACCAGAGATCCATGCTGAACCCTCTTGCTTCTTGCTGTAGATTCGTCTTCGCATGCCAAGAAGCTGTTAACACACACTGCCTTCAAGGAGAAGAATCAGGGTGGGAGAAGGGAGGGAATGTTCCTGGTCTGAGCCACTTCCGAAGGTTGAAAAGACACCTGCCACACTTTAATGAAAAATACCTACTCAATGGAACACATGGAAAGTCCTCTCTTTTCCTTCCTCTTTCCCATTTTGGTCTTGCAAGAAAAGAACCAGAGTGAGTTTTAATGAAAATTTGAGGTTTCTTCTTACTGTATTTATTCTATTTCTAATTTACTTGCACTGACTGCTTTGAGGGAAATGTTTTGTGTTCGTCAGGAAAAGGAAGTTAACGGGAGGTCTGTATGAACTAGGAAGAAGCTTTAGCTAGTCAACCATAATGGAATGTGTTGTTCCAAAGTAGCCATTGAGCAGGAATTGAAAGAGGTAACCTATTAATCAGGAGTCATACTCAATATTTATTACTTAGCTCACGCTAATGAATGGCTAAAGGATTTTGGTGGTAACACCAAATAAGGGTAATTCACCCTCCGTTTCTCTTCATAAAGCTTACTTGAAGACTCTCACAAAGCAAGCAGGAACTCCCAATCTCCCCTTGAGACTAATTACCAACAACCTCTCTTAGTTTTGAGATCTGCTCCCCGTCCAGTATCGTAAAATATGTGTTTAAAAGTAAGACTACCCCACAGAAGTCTGCAGGAAAAAAATGCAAATTTCTTTCTTCTTTAGGTTTCAAATTTATAGCTACAGTCCTTAATGCACTGACTGGACTATGATAAAGGTAAATAAATGGTTTCTGAATAAACGAACACAGTTATTTAAAATCACAATGTCCTAGAGACAGATAGGATGTTAAAGATCATTTGGTCAAATAACTTCATTTTAAAGATGAAGGAACTGAGATACAGTAAGTGGATCTGCTAATAGTGAAATTTCATGCAATTTAATTAGTGACAAAATTGGACTAAAATCCAAAAGTACTACCTCCCACTCTGGGGTTATTTCCACTCCCTTATGGGACCCCCCATAAAAGGTATAATAACAACAAAATCGGTAGTTTCAGCCAAAGTTTGAGACGTAAAGGTAGGAAAAGGGAAGGTGTATTTTCAATCTTGCTCAAATTCTAGAGATGCTTATCACCACGGTGAAATCCATTAGTAGTCTGCCGCTAAAGCTGACCACAGCGTGGTTTATAAAATGGGTCAGCCACTCGTTCTTATTTTGCTGTGACTTCCAGGGTTAAATACGAGTGACTCTTAAATCCATTAACCTCCTTGCCAAGGTTCCCGGTCCACTTTCACATGGGAAAATGTGACACAATGAATCAAGCACTGCAGAAGCAAAAAGTCAGTAATTAGTATGTAGGACAGGGCATGGCAATGTCTAAACAGTGAAGAAATGGAGCAGAAAAGGAAATGGTCACAGGACTCAGAGATAGAACACTGCCCTGTGGGGAGGGGAGAGATGCTGCAGGATTTCAAAATGGAGTGCTGGACCAAAACAAGTGGTAGCCTGCAACAGCCTTCTTCCTTTGGGCAGCAATTCTTAAAGAAGACCCTGGGGTAGATGCTAAAAGGAAGACAGGACAGGATGCGGCAAGTTCAAATTCAGGGATGCCTCCGTGATTGGTTTGGTGAATTGCACCGCACGTTGTATGTGTTGCTGCCATAGGGAGTGATGTTACATGGGCTTCAAAACTGGACAAGAGCAGAGTTTTGTTGTGTGGGTTTTCGTGCAGGGTAGGGGAGCAGAGGTAAAAATGCCCACCCAGGACTACTATAATGGCATTCTGTAAAGGCCTGGGAAAGAGCCCAAGCTTTATACATTAAAATCCTAATGGTGGATTAGGTTTGCAGGATCGTGGTTTTCTTTCTTTTTCTTTTCTTTTTTAAACTTGAGTCAATTTAAAGATGGTAAGTATATTTCCATTTATAAGGAGGGACCATCTTTTCCTCAGAAAAGACAGTAATTTCAAGACAAGGAAAGTATACACTTTAATACAGCCAGAAGTCCAGCCAGACCCAGCAGTCATACTTAATATAATAGAAGCACCTTAAAACCATTACCTGTAGAAATGGCTATCAGGAAAAGAAAAGAGTGTTTGCGTAACGTGGGCTCTCTCAGTAAATACAAGGAATCCAGGAGGGGAAAACTTAACTCTCCAATTACCCTGTCTTTTGTTTACATAAGTAGTGTATCTGGATATTTGGGAACAAGTAAATCTCGGACAAGTGATTGTGCCTTTCTCATCAGAAATCTGCAAGTCTCCAATTACAAATATGAGATCTAGAACAAAATGGGATAGCCATACCATTTGTTTAATCTTCTAGTCACCAGGATTCTGTCCTTCCCAAAACTCCTCACTATGGTATTGCTCCACGTTTCAGGTCACCTTCACTTCTGTGTCTTACTCTGTTCGGAACATGCAATGGGGTCTTGCTATTCAGACATACACTGCTTATCTGTGTCTATCACCGGGTCTATCTGCACCTCAAGAGAGTTGATATCTTCATTATTTCCCAGTGTCTCCCCTGATTCCCCGTTCAGAGCAAGCTCAACAAACGTGTGAGGCATCAACAAATGAATAGATGACTAGACAGAAAACTAACAAAGTCCTCTAATGCATCTGAGGCCCACTCCCTATGGTGTGTGAATTAATACAGCCTTCCCTGAGCTAAAACTGGAATAGTCAGCTTTTCCCAAAGAGACTCATTAGCATTAAGCCCTGTAAAGAAGTATCTCGATGTACCTAGTTTAAATCAAGTTCCCCTTTTCTAGAATTTAAAAATACTTTGGAAAAAGTCAGTAGGGCTGTATATCATATCTTAGTGGTTACTCCTGTTGGGAGGGACTTACGGACTCTTTCATTTATTCAACAGGCACTTACTGAGCATTTGTCACCTGCTCTAGAAGATGGAGGGAAAAAGAAATCTGATTCATTTTGATGCTTTCCTGGATAAGCAAAGAAGGAGAAGGCAGGAAATTGGGGGAAGGAAAAGACTAAACGAAGCTAAATATGGTGAGCACAGGAGGTGTAGAGCCGGCTGTCTGCTCGCTTTTGTCATTTTTATAGCTCCATTACCAGCCAATGTGGCTGGAGCGCTAAACATGGGCTCCACAGGGTGCCTGGCTGGCTCAGTTGGTAGAGCGTGCAACTCCTGAGCCGAGGGTTCGAGCCCCACATTGGGTGTCGAGATTCCTTAAAAATAAAATCTTAAAGGGGCGCCTGGGTGGCTCAGTCGGTTGGGCATCTGTCTTCAGCTCGGGTCATGATCCCAGGGTCCTGGGATCGAGCCCCGCATTGGGCTCCCTACTCGGCAAGGAGTCTGCTCTCTCTGCCCCTCCCCCCATTTGTGCTCCCTCTCTCTCTCTCTCAAATAAATAAATAAATAAAATCTTCTTAAAAAATTAAAAAAATAAAATCTTAATAAATAAATAAAATTTAAAAAATGTGGGCTCCATCTCAAGGTTTTGTTAATTTAGGATTGGTTATTATGACTTCCTTTCCCCATCTTGGTTCCAGGTGATGGTTTATTCAGGTTTGAAGCTATGGAAAACTTTGTATCTGAAGAAAAGTTAATTTTCACATTTTCAAAAGGCAGGCTGGTATTTTCCTTATTAGCCTTTGTAGAACCACAGTTTTCCTTTACATTTTATTTTTACCATCAAAATTAAGACATGTTTAAATACATATCAATCAAATGCTGAAGTGTATGTAAGGAGAAAGAAAGGTCCTTCCTTTACCTTATTTTATTTTTTTACTTCCTTGGAATTCACGTATTCCTCTCTGCCTCCAAGAATGGAGTTAGAATGTTAAACTCTTCTGAATTTCTCATGTTTAGAATGCCCTTCACATTTTAAATATAATTTAGTGGCACAGATAGTAAAAGCTCTGCTCCCAGAACCAAAAGTCAAATGCAATAATCCTTAACCTACGAATCCTTTACAGCAGGATTCAACAAAATTTCCTCTGTGAAGGGACCAATAAAGAGTCAATATTTCAGGCCTTATGGGCCACACATTTCTCTGAAGCCACTATTCTACTCTTCACGGTACCGCGAACGCAGCAAGTGACAGCATAGAAACAAATGGATGTGCCTGTGTCCCCAAGAAAAATTTATTTGCAAA